CTCCCTCCCTCCCCCTCCCTGTCTCTCCCTCTCTCTCCCCCAAGTCATCCCTCATGGACCTCGCTGACGTCTTCTCAGCCCCGGCTCCTGCATCTGCTTCGGACCCCTGGGGGGCACCAGCGCCCATGGCTGCTGCTGTCCCTGCAGCTGCCCCTGCCTCGGACCCCTGGGGGGGAGCTGCTGTCCCTCCAGCTGCTGACCCCTGGGGCGGTCCGGCTCCCACGCCGGCCTCTGGGGACCCCTGGAGGCCAGCTGCCTCCACAGGGCCCTCAGCGGACCCGTGGGGTGGGACCCCAGCCCCCACAGCAGGAGAGGGGCCCACACCCGACCCATGGGGAGGCTCTGAGGGTGAGTGCCAGTCCCGCCCTGCTGCAGCCTGGTGGCGGGCACTGTGGGGTCGGATGAGATGCCCGGGTGGTGAGGGTACCTGGAGGCAGAGTCTTGAGTGTGACCTGGGCGGCTGGGGCGGTGAGTGACGAGGTGGAGGGAGGCTGGACAGCCACCGATCTGAGGCAGCCGGCCCCTCAGGCACCTCCTTCCTCACCCAGGCGGGGCCCCCGTCAGTGGACCCCCAGCCTCTGATCCCTGGGCACCAGCGCCAGCCTTCTCGGACCCCTGGGGAGGGTCCCCTGCCAAGCCAAGCACCAATGGCACTGCAGGTACCAGTGGCTGAAGCTGGGCTGGATGGCAGGGTCCTGGCTCCCGAGGGAGGAGGACGGGGCCCTGGCGGGCACTGAGTGGGCACCTTGGCCCCTCCAGTGGCTGGGGGCTTCGACGCTGAGCCTGATGAGTTCTCAGACTTTGACCGACTCCGCACGGCGCTGCCAGCCTCGGGGAGCAGCACGGGTGAGCCCGAGCCCCAGCCCCAGCCCCAGCCCCAGCCCCAGCCCCACCCCCACAGAGTTGGGCCCTTGGGTCCTTTGGGGGAGAGGTCAGGGGGCTGCAGTGAGCCAGACCCGGCCAGTGACGAAGGTTTGGCATGATTCAGATGTAGAGGCAAGTTGCCAAAATGGTACCAAGAATGCCCTCCGGAGATCGGCCACCCGCTGTCCCTGCCGACCCTCCCTGGCTCTGGGCCCCTTTCCAGTGGGGTAGGAATCGGCATGGTGCTGGGGCTCTGCCCTCTGTTCTGTCCCCCAGCCTACTGCCTCCTGCCAGGCAGGGCCCCCCCTCTGCCTGAGCTGGCTGGGTGCCCTGGTCCCCGTCATCAGCCACATGTGTCTGTGGCAGCTGATGTTGCTTTTGGTCATCTTCCCGTTTGGGTCGATTGTCTGGGATTAGGCAGATTTCTTTGAAATGCTGGTGGTGTAGACACAAGTGTCCCTAGTGGCCCAAGGGTGACAGGGCCCAGCGCTTCCCCATGCCCTCTGCTCACAGTGACGCAGGCCGGTGGTGGACCCTGCAGTTCCCTTTCTCCTGGGCCTCCCGCACGCATATGTGTGGCTCTCACCGCAGACTTTACAGCTATTGGAAAGTCAGACCCCAAGCCAGCAGTGTCCCCAGCCCGCTGGGCCTCGGTGTCTCTGCGGGTCTCCCCTGTGTGCTTCTAGGGCCGCGCGGCGAGAGAGCTTCTTGGGAGGTGGTGGAGACTGCAGGGTCGCCCGGACATCCCACGCCATCCTCAGAGCCTGGCCTCACCCCTGCTTTGTGGTCGGCAGCGGCGTCTGGGTCTCCTGAGCCCTCGAAGCCTGGGATCAGCCCTGCCTGTCTTCCGCCACCGCCCTGCCCCCCTGCGCCCTCTGTGCCCCTGCTCTCTGACCCTGAGCTCACCCGCTCCTTCCAGGGGAGCTGGAGCTGCTAGCAGGAGAGGTGCCCGCCTGCAGCCCAGGGGCCTTCGACATGAGTGGGGTCGGGGGCTCCCTGGCCGAGGCCGTGGGGAGCCCCCCACCCACAGCCGGCCTGGCCCCCACGCCCCCCACACGGAAGACCCCAGAGTCATTCCTGGGCCCCAACGCAGCCCTCGTGGACCTGGACTCGCTGGTGAGCCGGCCGGGCCCCGCACCACCAGGAGCCAAGGCCTCGAACCCCTTCCTGCCGAGTGGTGAGCTGGGGCAGGTGTCCCCTCTCCGCCCGCCCACGGGCGCACTGCGGTGGCCCAGCCCCCTCTTACTGCGTCTTCTCTCCCTGCAGGAGCCCCGGCTGCTGGCCCCTCCGTAACCAACCCCTTCCAGCCAGCACCCCCGGCGACACTCACCTTGAATCAGCTCCGCCTCAGCCCTGTGCCCCCCGCCCCCGGGGTGCCGCCCACCTACATCTCTCCCCTTGGTGGGGGCCCCGGCCTGCCACCCATGATGCCCCCCGGGCCCCCGGCCCCCAACACTAACCCCTTCCTCCTGTAATGCGGTGGGAGGAACAAGGCCGCTCGGCGTCCTGCTCCTGCCCGGGAGATCAGTGTGGAGAGTGCATGTGAATCGGGGGGCCCAGCACCTCCCCCCGCCTCCCGGGCCCGCTCACACTACACCCTCCTCCCGGCCCGACCTGCCTCCCTGAGCCGGACACGGGTGGGGAGGGCCGGCTGACGAGGACCCCTTTCCATGGCATTAGAAGGGGAGGACTGTGGGGTCCCCGCCACTCCTCCTCCCTCCACACTGCCCCCCAATCCGTGTTTGAGCCTCACTCCCCTTTGCACCCCTGGGTGAAACCTTGGTGATGATTTTGGCAACTTCGGGAATAAAAGGCAGTTCTCACGGGCGTGGCTCTGTGCTCCCCTCCTCGGTCCCCGTTCCCTCAGAAGCCAGAGCAGCTCTGACTTCCCCACCCATTTCCTGGGGAGGTTGGGAGTGGGGAGGAGCAACGAGGCCTGGCTGGGTCCCAGGGCCCCACTCTGAGGGCTTGGGGTCCTCCAGGCACCCTGGGGAGGGTCCTTGGGGTGAGGTGGCGGAGGACACCAGGTGCTCCGAGAGTGGCCGGGGAGGAAGGTGCTGACGGTGGCACTGGGAGTGTCACTGAGCAGTGCACCTGCCGCACACGCGTCCCGTCCTCGCCCGTCCCTCTGCCGTCCTGTAGTCGGCCCCTGCTGGCCAGGGCCTCCCAGGCGGGGCCGCGGCCGACACCTGCCCCAGAGAAGGACGTGCTGCCCCCTGCACCCAGCTGGCTGTCCCCCCGGAGGGCAGCCTGCTCCTCCAGCGGGGTTCTGACTCCCCAGTTTGGCCTCTGGGGCAGGCCGGGTGCGTGCCCAGCTGGGTCAGCTCCGCTTCACTGGTGACTGTGGGCCACTTGGCCCAGGGCCAGATGACAGGGTGGCAGCCGCCGCCTCCTCGGCTTGCGGACAGGAGGGTGTGTGAGCCTTAGTCCTGACGCAAGGCCCGGGTGGGTCATGGTGTAGAGTCCCTGAGGGGTGACAGGTGCTGACCTCTGGCGTGGGGTGGGGGTGGGGGCTCCTCCCCCTCCTGGGCTCTGTGGGGAGCAGGTAGGGTCTGTGGATGGCAGGGCTGGGGGCCCAGCAGCCCGTGAGCGGATGTCACCCAGTGACGAGAAGGTGAGGTGACTGCAGAGGGAGGGGGCTTCTTGCTGGGTGCCCTTGTAGTGGCCCTGATGGGCGGGACACAGATGGGCTGGGAGGGCCTGCTCTGGCTCAATTCCCACCCTGGCCTGGGGGCTCAGACAGTGTGGGGAGGAGCCCAGCCCCTCTGCCACCCCCTTGCCGCTCTGTGTACCATGCTCCTGTGGGTCTCCTGGGTCTGCCGCCTGCTGGGCCTCCTTCCTCTGCTGGCTCTTCTGACGCCACGGGGAGCCAGCCCCCACTTCCTAGGTGCTCCGTGCTTCATGCCCTTGGTAGTAGAGCTCTGAAGAAGACCCACAGGCTGCCATGCGGAGGCCTAGGTAGTGCGAGTCACACCCAGAGGGAAGGCGGGCAGTGCCAGAGGGCATCTGCCCCACATGAGTCTGGATGGCTTTCTATGCACCCAAGGGTTGCTCTTGGGGTCCAGGGAACCGGGGCATTTACCATGCTTGTGAGCATTTTACTGGGAATTGTGAAATGGCTTCCTGTCCTTAGATGGTCAGTGTTTCTTCAGGGCTTTCATGGAAGAAACTTACAAAAGATAAAGCAGGTCTGGCCCAAGGCTGGAGGGTCTTGAAAGGAGAGGTCAGCTTCCTGGTGGCCGCGGCCTGAGAGCTGTGGCAGCCGAGCACCGAGTGCCTTGTTGCGGTGGCCGGCCAGGTGGCCGGTTGTGAGGACTGTGCAACGTATGGCCTTCAGACGTCTCACTTTGGGCAAGACCTGACGAACGGCCCTCGGGGTCACCTGGGTGCATTTCCGTGACTGACCGATGACTGACCGCTGCGTGCTGTTTTGCTAACCTCCTTGTCCTCAGGCCCGCGAATATCTAACTATCTGGCAGTTGGACGTGTCTTCAGATTGAAATCTAATTTCAGGGATAATCCTTCATGTTTCATCCACCCGATTTTAGTATGAATACTGTAATTCCAGACTACTTACAGATGGATCCTTAAGCGCACACTTTTTAGAGTTAGTGTATTTTGTGCGCCATAAGCGTTAGTTCATTTTGGGGAATCAGCGCATGCGTACTGCACGTCATCATTTCAGTCTTTTATCCCCCCAGTCCCTCTGAGCAGACTTTCTGACGGATTTTTCGTGGTACTGGGGATTGTGGGCCCTCAAAGCAAGCACCTTACAGCTGAGCTCCCCTGAATGGTGTTTTCAGGCTGACGAAACTGTAGAAAACGGTACTGGACTGGATTGGAAGAAGCCCCTCGCTTCCCTTGAATTTCAGGTCTTTGGCCCAGCAGGGGGCGCAGGAGGTCGCGGGTGGTGGCGGGGGGGGGGGCTCTTCAGCCCCTGCAGGTCAGGGTCTCGGAAAGGCCTCCCAGGAGGCCCTCGCCCACCCGCACACCTTCTCCCAGGCTCCCACTCCTCTTGCCCCTCTGACCCTGACGGGCACAGGAGCTGCTACTCCGCACCGCACGCGTGCGTGGCAGCTTCGAGGCGCTGGACTGTTTCCTCCCGGAACGCTCATGTCCAGAGCGGTCCCTGGGAAGGTGCTTAAGGTAAAACGAGGCAGGCAGGCTCTGCTCCAGTGTGATCCATGTCTTTGTACAAGAGACGAAGCCACAGCCACGCACAGAGGGACGGGTCTGTGAGAACATGCAGAGAAGAGCCCTCAGGAGAACATCCTGGCCACACCTTGCTCTGGGACTTCTGGGCTTTGGAACTGTGAGGAAATGAATTTAAGTTGTTAAATCGCTCAATCTGTGGGACTGTTTTGGCAGCCTTGGCAAATGCACATAGTTATCCACAGGGTCTTTTATTTTTGGATACCGGGGATGGAACTCAGGACCTTGGACTTGCCAGGCAGAGGCAGCAACACTAAGCTACAACCCCTGCCAGTCCACAGTATCTATGGAAATTCGGGTGTGCGCACACGCGCGCACACCCCCCCCACTCTTGCCTGGCATCCTCTGTTGCACAAGCTCATGCTTGTCCCTCTTCCAAGTCCCTGAAGGATCAGTCTATATTTTTCTCCTTGGTGGGGGTCTGGCCTGCCAGGCCCAGTGGAAACCCCTTTGTTCTGTAATAAGGGACAGGGAGAGAAGACCTGGCCGGGGCCCACTTCACCTACTGCTCCTGCCAGGTAAGTGTTGGGAGTGGTCTGTGGAGGACTGCATCATGGGCTCCATGCATCCCCGACCGCCTAATATACTGCACACATGTGTGGGAGACCTCAGGGAGACCAGAAGAAAGGCAGAACCCGAGCAGGCCTGTGAATCACCATGTTTTGGATGTGTTCTTCAAGCCACACAGCGCTTGGGGCTGCCTTACTGGCTCAGCATCACTGACAAATTTAGACTTCCCGGGCCATGGATTTAGCTCAGTGGTTCTGGTGCCTGCCGCCCAAGCACAAGGTCCTGAGTTCGATCTCCAGTACCAAAAAAAAAAAAAAGCCGTCTCAGGTGCATGCAGACCCCTAGGGGTGCTGGGTTTTTTTTGAGACAGAGTCTTGCTATGTAGTTCAGGCTGGCTTCAAATTCAGTATGTAGCCAGCCCGGCCTAGAACTCAGTGATCCTCCTGCTCAGCCTCCTGAGCGCTGGGATTACAGGTGTGCGCCACCACGTCTGGCTATGCAGCCCCTAAGGAACTGGTCTTTGAAAGAAATTAGCATAGACATCAGTAATTGCTCATTGCTGGGAGATCTGTCTCGTAGATTTATTTGGCAAGCCTTTTGCCTACCCACCAAAACAAGCTGAATCCTTTCCTAATTTCTTACTCTCCTTTGTTAAGGGCCAGCCTGGTCTTTATCAGCTCCTCAACCCATAGTCCTTTACCACTTTCTTTTACTTTCTAATTAAAACCTTTTCTTTAAAAACAATGTTTTCAGAATATTTGCATAGGAAGCACAGGCATCTCAAGTACTCAGTGGCTACCATATTGGACAGCACAGGGCTTGGGCATGAGTTAAGTACTCCATGGCCCTAAAATCTCCAGGCAGTTTCAGTCTGTACTTAGAGATGAGCACAATTGTTTTGAGAGAGTAAGTTTTATGTGCCTGACTTCAGCAAATGCCTACATTTAATGGGCAGATGTTTGAAAGCTGCCTTTTCCAGGTCTCTGGGTTGGGACAGGTTGAGTTCACCTGTAGTGCAGCTCTTGGCTGGGGCTTGATTTCCTTGTCTTGGAAACCCGCCTCTGCAGCCGGGAACTGGGCTTGATGTCTTTCTTCTCAGCGACCATGGGGCAGCATCACCACAGCCCTTCCCATGGGGCTCCTGGAGTGAGTTGATGCATTGGAGGCAGCAGGCATGGCCACAGTTTAGGGATAAGGGCTTCTTCAATGTAACTTTGTGGGGCACCTACTTGCTGTAACTTTAACGTGTTCAGCCACAGCCACTGTCTGAGAAAATGCATGATACCAGAGTTTCCATGAGTTGAGGGAACACCAGCCTGTGGGACACCTTCATTTTTACATGCTGCCCTTTCCAGCCACTGGTACTAGGTCATGAAGACACCACAAAAACACGTAAATGACAAATGGCCTTGAACAGGATCCTGGTGATTGGGACGCTGCAGTTGCAGTGAGGGACATGATTCATCCTTGAGTTTGAAGTTGAGGGGGTGATGGAACCAACACCCCAGCTGGGCCACAGTGTACCCAGCCGCCTCGTGTGGCTACTGAGGACCTGAAATGGGGCCTCTGTGAGCTGAGATCTGCTGTGGGTATAAAATACTCAATTTGGAAGCCGTGAGAAAAATGTAAAATTTTTCATTAACATCATTTTGAATTATGTGTTGGAATACCATATTTTGACACTGAAATATACTTATTTTATCATGGCTATTAGAAAGTTTATCATTACATATGTGTGTGATGTGTTTCTATTTGGACAGTGTTGGGCTAGACTCTAAAACCTTCAACTCTCTCAGCTGCATCAACCTGAGCAAAAGCCCTAGTAGAGACAGAGGCTGAATCAATGAGGGAAACCATTCCACCGGCTTTCTGGTTAGGTGTCTCAGTTACTTTCCTCACCGCTGGGATAAAATTCCGGACACCCACAATTTAAATGAAAAGAGGCAGACTTTGGCTTGCAGTTTGTAGAGGTTTCAGTCTATAGGCCCTGGCTCTGAAGCAGGGCAGCACAGCAAGACACAGCGAGGCTTGCTCACAGCAGGTGGACAGGAAGCAGAGGTCAAGGGAGGGGAGGGAGGGGTGCCCTTCCGGGCCACGCCCCCACG